GGCTGTCTTGTGCATTGAAGGGTATCTAGCCTCTGCCTACTCCATGCTATTAGCTACAAGTTGCTACAATGCCTACTCCATGCAATTAGCTACAAGTTGCTACAATCAAACATGTCTCCCAAATGTTCCTTGGTACCACTGTTTTCAATGATGGAAAAGATTTACAATGAATCAAATCAGTTTTTGTCCCTTCATCTTCTGCACATTTTTCTCCCATGGTTTACAACAAATTTATATCACATTGCAAAGTTCTATGTTAATTTTCAATTGTTGTAACCTTTACCGTAACTGATGAACCAACTTTCTTTCTTTCCTTTTTTTTTCTATTTTTTTAATATTTATTTTTTAATTGTAGTTGGTCACAATTCCTTTATTTATTTATTTATTTATTTATTTATTTATTTATTTATTTATATGTGGTGCTGAGGATGGAACCCAGGGCCTTGCACATGGTAGGCAAACACTCTACCGCTGAGCCACAACCCCAGCTCCCTTTTTTCTGTTTTTTAAGAGATGGAGTTTAGGTTGCTCAGTCTGCCCTTGAATGCCTACTTCAACTTCCCAAGTATTTGGAACTACAGACACACACACCACTCGCCCTAGCTTAACTGCTTAACTTTCTATAAAGAAGTCCAAAATTATRCACTAAAAACCATAATCTCACGAATAGCGTTGAATTAAAAGATATGACTATACATCTTTTATATTCTTCTGTAGGACAGTATGTTGTGGATAGGGAAGTCATGTTAATATAGTCAGTTCTTTTTGATCCTGTGATTCTGGGTTGGTTTTTGATCACATATAACCAATTTTTTGGTGATGTTCAAATATCAAGGAAAGGGATATTCTTAACACAGGGGCTCACAATGAGAGTATTGGTATCAAATCTCAATACTCTGGCCCAGGTTCTTGGATACCTGAATGGTTTTTATTTTAATGAGTATATGTTTTGTAAATTGTCTGAATAACTTAATCTTTTTATTGATTCTTACATATTATGTTTTAATAATAAATAATAACTCAATGTGACAATGGGCTAATTATTTTGTCAAATTAAAATTATTAATTTTTCATTTATATTCGTGTTACAACTTATTTGAAAAGTTTTAAAATACTGTAACATACCTTAACATTGGTACCTAAACATTATGAGGTATTCATTTTAAATTCTTAACACAGATTTATCTGGCTAAAAATATAATGCCATGAAAAAGGTATGCATAACATGTAAATAATTATTACTATTAAATATTCACTTTAACATTAATAATCCCTAAAAATACCTTAAGTTTTCTTTTATTGCTTCTATACTCATTGGTAATTATATAGGCAGATGTTTACTCATTAAAAAACAATAGCTAATGACTATTAAATGCTAGATTCTAAGGACTTTAGCTGCATTATCTCATTTAACCCTCCCAAATATACATTCATATTACTGATGAATAAATTAAAAACTCAGAGAAATTATACAGTTAATAAACTCTTGACACAGTTTTTGCACCCACATAAAAACTTATTTTCAAATATCATACCAAAACAAGATAATCTCTGTTTTTGTTTTTTCAAGATTTAGGTTTATACTCTTTTACTCCAATACATTTTTATTTTTTGAGTGCTTACTATATGACAAACTTTGTGGGTCTCATTGTTGTTTTGTTTTTACTTGGAAATAATTTGTGACTTAAAAAAAATACAGGGTTCACATTTATTTTCCCTAATGTCACTAATGGATCTGGCCATTGTATAAATGTCCAAATTATAGATATCAGGAAATTAATATTGACTCATAGTATTATTGACTAAATTATAGACTTTAAATGAATTTCACCAGTTCATCCCTTAATGTCCTTTTTCTGTTCTAAATCAAACCTAGGATCCCACATCATATTTGAGTCTGTCTCATAAGTCTTCAACGTATGGATGTTCCTCAGTCTTCTTTTCCTTCATGATTGACACTGTTAATGAATACTACTCAGTTATTTTGTTTGTGGTCTTTCAGTATTTTCTTAGGGTTCTACTGAGGTTATACATATTTGTAAGAATACTACAGAGATGATGTGCTCTTCTTGGGGCACCAGAGAATACATGATGTTGATATATTTTATTATAGTGATGTAGTTTATACATTGTGAAGTTACTCTTTCCACTTTTTGTTTGAAAAATGCTTTGGAGGAGAAATGTTGATGTTATATAAATATTCTGTTTCTCCTCAAATTTTCCCTTACTGCTTTCCTTGTTGCAAGTTACTTTACATGATTATTTTATGTATTATTCATAATTACAAAGGCATTGCCTTAACTTTCAAAGTAGACGACTAACTTTCAGAGGTAAGCTTATACTTTTTAGCAGGAACAATAGTAAATAAAATCTGAAAATTTTGGGGCTGGGATTGTGGCTCAGTGGTAGAGTGCTCGCCTAGAACGTTCAAGGCCCTGGGTTCGATCCTCAGCACCACATAAAATAAGTAAATAAAATAAAGATATTGTGTCCAACTACAACTAAAAAAAATATATATTAAAAAAAGTACCTATGAAGATAAGCAGGGGGGGGGCAATTTATGACCAGTATAAGACAGTAGTACTTTTGCACACATGAAGAATAATTAGCTACCAAGAGATCATATGAGCTAAATATGTATGTCTAAAATCAAAATAGTTAGTTACATGTGAATAATAATGAATATAATAGAACTGCTGAGAAAAATGACTGCATAGGCTTGTTTTTAAGATTAAGTCTCTTCTCACTTAAATGAACAAAAAGAACCAAAAGTAGAAGAGAAAATGGTACCTTTACTGAAACTAAAAAAAGCCCTAAACCATATGCAGTGAGCTATAGTTGTCTTTCTAGTTACCAGGACTAAATTTATTTCTCATCTAAACAATATTATATTAATCAACTTTGTATATATATCTTTTTCTACTGGTTCTTAATTTCTACAGATTAGATTCTCAGTGGTAGAATTACAAAATTCAGGCATATACATACAATTGTGTGTATTATGTAGATAGATCTATATAAGTTTAAAAATATTATAGATAACTTTCTCAAGAAAAATAATCCCCAAAAATGTGTGTGTATCTCTGTGTGTCTTTGTGTGTTTATTTTACTACTTATTTTGCCTTCTGGGTATTCCGTACTTTAGTCCTCACATTAGTTTGTTTTCCGTCATTATAATAAAATGCTAGATATAATAAAATTCTAGATGTTAGATAAACTATAATTAAATAGAAATTTATTGAGATCACAGTTTTAGAAACTAGACATCTAAATAGCATGGTACTATTTCTGCCAAGGGCCTCTTTGTCTGCCTCATATCATTACTGATAGTATCATGGTGGGAATATGTACAAAAGAGAGAAATTACATGTCAAGACAGGAACCCAGAGAGTGGTGAKAGACTAGACTCACTCTTTTATAACAACTATCTCTGAAAAACTTAACTAGTAGTCCCAAAAGAACTATTTTAAAATAAGACAAGATCAGTGTTTAAATATTGTGTGAAATCCATATGATATGTAGATAATTTTTTCTATATCCTAGCTCCTTTCATCTTTTTTTTTTTTTTAATGGAAACATGGGCTCACTAAGTTGTGATCCTCCTGCCTTAGCCTCCTGATTCACTGAAATGGTAGACATGTATCACTATGCCAGGCTATATTCTGGAGTTTTAATATCAACATCTGCTCTTACAATAAAGCCATGTAAGATTGTATACACACTAGCTAAGTGAAGTAATAAATATGCTTAGAAGTGATTTTGCCATTATAAATGGTTTGCTAAGTCTACTTGAAATCATATTAAAACTTGACTCCAATAAAAACTCTAAAAATGTATTTGCTTTTTTTTTTTTTTTTTGCATGGGAGGAGTGGAGACTCTCTGTATTAGAGACTACCATGCCAGATTCTTGGACACCTAAGACCAACAAGTATATTACTATCTAGATTTAAAAGACAAGAATGCCCTCTATTCAAATATGATATTTTCTTGATTCTTTAAGATAATACAGGAATTGTATTGCAATTGAATAAATAATATTCTTTAAGAAGAAGAACATAATTTTAATTTTCCTAAGTTTTGTGGTATTACACATTTGTGGGAAATTACTATTTAAAACACTGTTAATCTTTTTGGACATAAGAAAACTCTGTAAATCTATTAGAAGAGATTTAGTACACTAAAATTAAACTTATTTCAAACCAGGTGCAGTGGCAGTTGTCTGTAGTCCCCATTACTTGGGGGAAGGTGAAATTAGAGGATCACTTGAGTCAAAAAGTGGAAAACTAGGGTGAGAATCTGTCCACACACACACACACACACACACACACACACACAAATTTAAACTTATTTTATTAATTGGCATTTGTTGTAGTCCATTTTCTGTTACTATAACAGAATACCTGATATTGAGGTCTGTTTATGTCACAATTCTGAAGGCAGGAAGTTCAAGATCAGAAGAGCTTACTTAACTATGTGGAGTGGCTTCCCTTTTACACTTCTCCAAAGAAATAGCCCATTTCCAAGGAAATAAGAATTCACTCACTTCTGCCCAGTCCCAGAAGAAAGGCATCAATTTCTCATAAGGACTTAATCACCTTTTGAAGACCCAACTTCCCAACACTCCTGCACTGTGAAATTTAGCCTCAACATGAGCATTTTTAAGATATGAAAGTATTTTTTCCTTTTTTATGAAAACTATATATTTATAAATTTATAGTTTAAAAAGTAAGCAAAGGATTTATTTTTTTTATTTTTTTTTAAAGAGAGAGTGAGAGAGGAGAGAGAGAATTTTTAATATTTATTCTTTAGTTCTCGGCAGACACAACATCTTTATTGGTATGTGGTGCTGAGGATCGAACCCGGGCCTCACGCATGCCAGGCGAGCGCGCTACCGCTTGAGCCACATCCCCAGCCCAGCAAAGGATTTATATATGTTTAGTTCTTTTGAATAATTTTGAGAATTATAATACTGAGAATCAGTTTTTTCCCTCTCTTGTAGATATGGATTCTGGAGAACGGTTGCCATCCTCAACAGCCTCCTCTACCACACCAACTTCATCTTCTACACCTTCTGTGGCTTCAGCAGTTTCTAAAGGTGGCCTTTCCACTGGAGCTGCTTCACTTAGCTCTACAATCAACCCATGTGGTAAATATCCTTTATTAACTCAATTTTAGAATGCCATCGTTTTGATCATTTGCATYCTTAATAAAGAGATCTAAATAAAATGTTCTCATGAATTCTGCTGACCTGTTGAATAATGGCTAGGTTAAACAGCTAGTGTTCTTTGCTTTTTCTGGATCTTTCACTGGGATATCCTTGGTTATTTCATGCTTTTCCTGCTTACTGGAAAGTCTCTTTGAGGGATTGAATCTTAATATTGTAATTTGTTTTACCATGTTAATTAAGGAATTAGTAAGTATAAAGTCTCTTTTTAAAATAATAGACCTATGAGGGAATCAAGAAATACAGAAGAGGTCTTGGTAATAAGATTTAGTACTAATGCTGAGGATCTTTGTCCTAATCTTGTTGCTAGTATTTGAAATGACGTTCAGATGCTCCAGCTACCCCAGTTCACAGATATATACTACACTAAGGCAGATATTTACTTAATGGGAAATTAAATTAAAACAAATGAACAAATAGCAACAACAAAACCCTAAACTTGATTAACTCATTCATTTATTAGCAGGAAGCATTTTAGCCTTACTTTTTTTATCTTGTAGAATTATTTCATGATTATAAACAGTTGAACTAAATAAACATCTTACTTTTTTTCAAGTTAAAATTTGTGATTTTATATAAGTAATACATAAAAATATGGAATATTTGCTTAAATATCCTAGCAAATTATTAACTATATTTTTTCAGTTATTTTTGTTTTTTAAGCAATAAAATAAAAAAGGATGCCATTGAATTTATCATASAATGATGTTCTTAGTGATTACCAAATAACTAAAATGACATATCTTAAAAATCAGTATAACCCTTCTTGTATACCTTGTATAGTCTTCATCAAGTAATCTAACAACTTTGTCCACATTTTCCTTATACATAAATGATGTCTGGGTTCTAACATCAGTGATGATATGCTGTGCTAAAATACAGTGATGCCACAATTTATTTATTTATTTATTTATTTTTTAAAAGAGAGAGTGAGAGAGGAGAGACAGAGAGAGAGAAATTTTAATATTTATTTTTTAGTTCTCGGCGGACACAACATCTTTGTTGGTATGTGGTGCTGAGGATCGAACCCGGGCCGCACGCATGCCAGGCGAGCGCGCTACCGCTTGAGCCACATCCCCAGCCCCCACAATTTATTTTTTACCCAATATTACTTTGAATGATTGCAAACAGATGTATTTTTGTAAATTTTTTCCCTGTTTTTATAACTCCTCTTGCTCTTTCCTTTGCTGTCAACTCCTTTTAATGTATTCGCATCTGCTTTCTTATTTAGTATTTGTTTCTGTTATCCTTAATATAATGGTGTTTCTAGAAACATGTTTTTTTCTTTTTGTTTTAATGTTGAAGGTTTCTGGGTAGTTTTTTTCTCATTTTTCTTAATCAATGATACTGGCATTGCTTACAATCCTGATTACTTATATTTTCGGCACCATTCTTTGTTAGTTGTAATTGGGAGTTTCAGAAAGGATGGAATATACTAAGTTGCTAAATAACATCAGAAATCTTGTAAGAAAAGGGAGTAGTTTTTGCTATTAAAAGAGGGTGTAGAGGTTTTATATTGAGATGCTTATACATTAAATTAAAGTGTAATTTTTGTTTATTCAAAAGTTCACCACTTATTAACACATTAGATTTTAAATACCTACATGATAATATTTTCACTTTCTAGGCAAAATGAGTTTTAAAAACTTTTAACTTTTACAGTGTTGTATTTCATATTTCAAATAGTTTATTCCCACCCAAGGCTACTGAGAATGTCTTTTAAGGTTGCTCAGTTTATTTTCTTATCTTTTCTTGTTTGATTCATTGTTTTTGGCTTATATATTATCTGATAATCTTCCCATTTGAAAGTAAAATCAAGATTCATAATGGGCTCGATTCCTTTATCTTAAACAATTTGATCTCTCTCTCTCTCTCTCTCTTTTTTTTTTTTTTTTTTGCTATATAGAGATAGCAGAGCAGAATTGTCATCGTTTTTTTTTTTTAAGTTGTCGATGGACCTTTGTTTTATTTATTTATATGTGGTGCCGAGAACCGAACCCAGTGCCTCATACATGCCAGGCAAGTGCTCTACCACTGAGCCACAACCCAGCCCCAAATCTCATCTTTAAAATGCCAAAGGCTCAACAATTTTTTTCATGGATCTCTGGTGTTATTCTGTTATTTTACACATTATTTTGTTTAAGAATCTCATTTATTTCTTTGTCACCTTCATTAATGATGTGTCTATAGAAATTCCTTCAAGCTATATAGGATGTAATTTGAACTTGCTTTCATACTTTGAATTACCACCTATTTGCTATTGAATCAATATCTTGTCAAGGTCCAAGATTATACCTGCTTATAGGTTAACCTATTGCTATATTGGATGCTGACAGAAGACATGGATCAGAGATTCTGTTGCTTATGGCACAGCAAACTACATGAGTATGATATTGGCTTTGGTTCTCTATGCCTAAGTTCCACAGGGATGATGCAGATCCCATCATGTATGGGTTTCTGTCATATCTGAGGAACATTGGAATTGAGGAATTGAGTGCTTTTATCGATGAGAGTAAGCTCATTCTTTGCAAGGAGGATGTTTGTTACCGTATCTTTTAAGGTTGCTCACTGCAAATGTCATAGTCTTGAGAATAGCCCAGTTAAAGAGTGATCAAGGCCTGCATTCTTGACATATCCAGCAATAACATGCAGAGATGCTAAGGGCCTTGGATAATTGCCTCTTTCAAAACACTTTTAGTTTTATTAAAACTTTTAGTTTTATTTTATACCTCATTAATAATAGAGGTAACTTGGATTAAAAAAAAATATAACACTGCAGTACAGATCAGTTTAAGGCAGGCATGGTGGTGCATTCTTAAAATCCCAGTAACTCGTGAAGCTGAAACTATAGGATTGCATATTTGAGGCCAGCTTCATGAACTTGTGAGTCCCTAAGCAACGCAGTGAGTTGCTGTCTCAAAATAGAAAAATTAAAAGGGCTGAGGATGTAGCTCAGCAATAAAGCACCCTGGGTTCAATACCTAGTACCAAAACAAAACAAAACAAAATTAAGACTGTTTGCATATATGGGTTTTATTGATCTTGTCTGAAGAGTAATATTTCTTTTCCRTTAGGAATACACATACACATGTGTATTTTTTAATAAATTGCATACTCTTAAAAATGAATTTGAGACAGCTTTCACTATGTGTATAGCACAATAAACAAAAATAGTTAACTGAAATGTCAAAAGATAGGCTCTAAGAAATAAAAAAGATGTCAGCTGTAGAAAACCACAGATATTGAACAAAAAACTTAACCAGTTACCAGCTAAGCATAAAAAGAAAATACCTTACCCTGGTGCTATTTAAGTATATTAGTTTCTCAGAAAAAAACACATTGTTTTTGGCCCTGAGTAATATGGGGAATTTGCCACTGGAGCTTTTGTTTAAGAATTCAGATGATGCACACTATCCCACATTCTAGGTTCAGAGATATTCAGATATTTTTCCACATATTGTCTCTGGGTAAAGTTGGAGAGTGGAATACAAGCATAATTTCACAAATAAACTTTGCATAGTGAATTTGTTTGAGATTTGTGATTATKCAACCTAATACAAAGATAGAATTTTGAAAAATTTAAATAATAGTCAAGCTGTACCATAGACCAGTGCTTTTCAATCTGTCTTTGAAGGTAGATTTCTTCAAACAAAAGCTTATGCAAATGTAAAATATATAAGACTGATAAACTATTAAAAACCACTCTGGTTGAGGCTGGAATAGGTCTGCTTTTAAAAATTAAAGGGATTACTTTTCCTATGAATCTTAATTGTAGGCCTCTATAAACATGTGCCAAATCATGGTATATCAAAGAAATAATAAGTTGATCAATTTAGGCTATTTGATAGTTACGACAGTGATTAACTATGGGTAGGAAAACATGGCAGATGAACACACCAGCCCATAGGTAAGCAGTCCTGAAGTTGGAAATGTCATCACAGTCCTAGGCTCCTTCTAATTATACATTTCTTCTTCTAAAATGTGAGATTTTATGCTTACGTAGGTATCTCAGAACTACAAGAGGGCTGATCCACCAGGAAGTGAGCCGGTATGGGATAGGCAAAAGTTGCATGCCAATTGACTTTGTCTCCTTTTTAAGTTTTTCCAGAAACCCCACCCAGAGATTTCTACTTACATCTTTTTCATCAGAACTGTGTGAGTGATAATGTCAGCTTCAAGAAAGGCTAGGGAGAATAGGTTTTAGCTGAGCATATTTTTATCATGAATAAAACAGTTGTTCTGTAACTAAGGAAAAAGGAAAGAGTAGATTGGTAATATGTGTGCCACTAAGGGCTAAGTACAGCAAAGGATAGGAACGAGGTTAAACTTGGTAGTAGGCCAAGACCAGGTCATTTAGAATTTATGTGGCATGCTTAGGAATTGATGCAGAATAATTCAGTATTAAAAGCAAAGACTTTGCTATCTAAAGGCCCTGAAATTGAATCTTGGCTTGTCAAGATACCTCATTAATAATATAGTTATACCAGCACCTACTTTATAATATTATGAGAATAAATAAGTTCTTATATATAGTAAGTGCTTGGTAAATTGTACCCATTATTTTTTTTCATACTTTATCCAAAAGKAATGGATTTATATGATCACATTACTTTGAAAATGATAGCTCTGAAGAATTTGGAGTATCAGTTTGCAATGGGGATAGAACCAAAGGCAAAGACAACCTTATATCCATACTTAATATATAAGAATTTGAACATGAATATATTTATATGCTTATATTTATACTTATTATATTTAAATTATATATATGTATGTGTGTGTGTGTGTGTGTGTGTGTATATATATATATATGTATATGTATGTATTTATTCAGGTGTGAAATAAGGAGGACCTAAATGAAAGAGTATTGGAAATGGAATAATATGCAAGGTTCCAAAGATATATATATTTTTTTGGGGGGG